CCCCAAAACCCCAAAACCCCTTCGGCTAATAAACTTAGTGATTTTTAAAATACAATAAATAAAGTAAATATTTATCTATTTATTAATAAAAAATGCAAGAAATGTTTTTAATAAGTTGAACTAAGCATGCTAATTAATAAATAATATTAGTAATGTCATATCAAAATACAATAATTTTGTTCCTATTGAGTTTATTTATCAATAAATTGCTATCTCAAAACTGTGCTTGCTCTCTCCCTCATTTTTATGATGTTGAATAATGAGATCTTATTCCAATACATACTGAATATAATATAAATTTTGATTACGGGCTTGTGTTCTTTAGAAATTAAAAAAATGATACATTAGTAATGTTCAAGATAAATCAATATGGCTTCATCTATGAAGGTATAACTTTTTGGAATTGGGAATTTTTTCCTCAGTTATATGTTACCTTTTTTGACGATAGATTATCATAAATAACTGAAATCATTGCATTAGGAGGAAGAAATTTGATTACAATAGAAAATTCTGCTTCTAATAGTAAGAGACCAAGTGTCACATTGAGTCTTAGATTCGACTTAGAACGGAAAGGAGAATAATCTTAAATCTATCCTGTTTACTTTGATCAAAAATTTGATTTACTAGTTATGGCTTCAGATAAAAACGGGTATTACTTGCTAAAAATAAGTTATGCTACTCCAACTACAAAGAGAGTTCAATGGTCGAGAAAGATAATAAATTATGCTGATTCTAATTTCCCAAATCTATATTCTTCTATAAATAAAACATCATAATATTCACTATATTGGCAATAAAACTTTGCTTAAAATCAAGGATACTCATTTATCAGAATGTCACTGACTAATGGACAATTTCAAAAAGGATTTGTTATCTCACACCAAGATTATCTACCAAGCCTTAATAATTATGTTTAGGCTTTCTAAGTATGAGAAGATTCAAACGGAGTACCAATGCTGGCAGCTTGCTTTAACTTTGAAAATCATCCTGTAAATAACAATAAATTCTTTATGCTTGCCATTTATAACTATAATACTTTGGAGTTAAGATAGTGGGAATTTGTGAAATCTTCTAAAGAAGATGGATATTGTTCAGATATGAATTATTCACCAGCATTTAGATAGGCAGTTTTTATAATTTCTGAAGTTAGAGACTCTGATGGATTATCTTATTTGAATATGTATAGAATGACTAGTGACTTAAAGTAAATTTATATTGGATATTTGAGGAAAAATCCTACGTCTTATGATTACTTAAGATTTAAACATGGAATACCAGAGGGATTTAAAAAGCACATTAGAATTAATAATTATGTGGGAGCTTTCTTTGGAATTAGAATTCATGAATTTAATGGAGTGCAACTTTAGTAGAACTTGAATTTCATAAACTCTGGAAATAACAGTTGCAAAGAATTATTATTCAAAGAATATAAAGTGACTCTTACTTAATAAGTTAATAATTTTTCTACACTACCAGATTTTACTTTTAGTACTACATTTTCTAGCACTTTTACGGGAATCGTTTAAGATTAACTTCAGCAAACTTTGTAAATGTCAACATTAATGAAAAGAGAATAAACTTTTATTGAAAATACACTCTGTGAAGCAAAAAACAATTCTTATTTTTGAGTAATTCCTTCATTAATAAGGTAAACTAAAATAAAGGATCACCTAATATTCCGCACTATATGATCTCTCAATACACACTAGGGAAAAAACCGTATTTTACTGTCTAAACCTCCGATTTAAAAGCAATGAATACAGCGCCATATTTCAAATTAAAGTTGAAAAATTTAACAATTTTCACAAATTAATAGGTATTTTATACGCTTCCAAAAGCAATAGACGATCAGAATAACCAAATCGATAAATTTCTTAATTAGTCAAATGAGAGCTAGTATTTTTACAGATTAAGTTAAAGCCAAATAGTTTTTAAACCTTGACTGGATGATATTGGAGTTCACTATGTACAAATAATACTCAAAGAAAGAACAATTTAAGCTCTCTACAATTCATATTTGATTAGAGTGAATGTATTAGAAGGAAAACAAGGAGATGATATTATAATAGATAATTACAATGGCTTAGAATCTTAGGATGACTCTCAAAGCAGTTTTGTGAACGAACAAGGTCAATTTATACTAAAGCCGAAATTAAAATACATCAGCAATTAGGGTATCCTTCATTGCATGTTTGATGGAAGGAAATTAATTCTAGAAAATCCAAATCTTTTTACTCAAGATAATTTGAAGGTCACATTATATTCTTTGGAAAATGTCTAAGTAAACGCTATTTTATCTAAGAAAATCATCAGTGTTTAATCTAAAGAAATGAGACTATAGATTAACTTTAATCCTAACAAAATATCGTTTATACAGACTTAACAACATATGATTTCAATTATATTCAAGATGGGTATCAGATTTAAGCAGGGTAACTTAGAAATCATCATTCCTTAGGGGTATGAAACAAATAAAGTAATTATTCCATAATAAAAAGAGGAGAATAGTGAAAGAATAGTTTAACAGTTAGCTACTGTAGCTTATATTTTAATCGGTTCATCAATGTTTTGGGCAACAGTGAACATAATTATAAAGAATGTGGTAGTTTAAGAACTATGGACATTTATTAACTCACTACAACTGATAACTTACTTGCCATTGTTCAATATAAATCTACCTTATAACATATAAAGATTTTTTGAGCTGATATGTAGTGCTCTGAACTTTTCTTTTATAAATGCAGATTATTTCAAATACAATATTCTATAAATGATGGATAATGAAGCTGATGATCATACCGACTTTCCTGGAAATAATTTTCCGATTGTAGGTTACGAAAGTATGGACTTTATTTAAAATTTAGGCACAGAGATAGTAATGATCTTCATTAACATCATTGGTATACTTTTTTTAGTGATTCTTTCACCATTCTAAAAAATTAAGTTCATAGGAAAACTTCGAGATAAACTAAAAGAAGTATTAATCTTTGCTTTTACAATAAGGCTTATCTTAGAATTATTTTTAAGTTTCACACTTACTTCAAGCATGTAAATTTAATATGGATACAAATTCAGCAGGATAAAAAGTTATCAAGGTTACAGGTTGGCGATTGTTATTATCATTTTACTCATTACATTTTTGGCCATATGTATTTATCTTGTCCGCTAATTTAGACGTTCTGATATTTTCTATTTAAAATTCTTTTCCAGCTTGAAATTTTAACTTAAAGAGGATAGATTATTTGCTCTACTTTTTCATGTTTTTTATATGATTAGAAGATTAATTTTTGTATTTACAGTACTCTGTATGTATGATCAGCCTTTTTTCTAAATATTTTTAACTTAAATTATATCAATTCTACAGCTATTGTATATTGTTAAAATTAGACCATTAGAAAGCTTTTAACAAAATTTAATTGAAATTTTTAATGAGTCATTATTTGTGTGTGCTTGTGGCCAATTTATTGCTTTTGCTGGTGCATAACAGAATTAACAGCAATCAGACACTGTTGGTTATGTCATTATAGTTGAAATTCTTTTAATGTCATTAGTAAATGCTATTGTAATCTTTGCCGAAACATTAAGGAATTTCAGAAATAATTCAAAAAAATTAAAACAAAGTATAAAAATAGTTGTCAAGGAGATAGTTTTGAAAGTTAAAAGTATCTCATTCACGAAGAATCCTCGGATCATATCAATTAGCCAATAGACTACAGGAACATAAGATACAATAGCTAATTTATTTGGCTCAAATATAGATGTCATTAATGCAAAAATAAGCCCTGAATCAGTTATTAATTCTAAATCAATCTCTGAAGACATGATTTAATCTATTTCAGTTGATAATATATCTGGCTATGTAGACATTTAATAGATCTACGATTAACAGGAAGAATTAGGATATTAACTAAAAGAAAAAACTAAAATACCCAAGAACATTGATTTGAATGATGAGATTTCATTTACTTTTACAATTAATCACCAAAAAGAAATCTAGTATTGAAAATTAGTAATAAAATAGTTTGATAATTAAAAATACATATTTATTTACGATGAAATTGCAATTTATTTGATTCAAATTTGCTTTAAGGGGTTTTGGGGTTTTGGGGTTTTGGGG